TGAATCAAAGTGTATCATAGTGATAACGTTCACAATGTTTCACGTGTATCACAATGCATTTTCTTTGTTTTATGAAATGTATTATATTGTGCATTTTCGTTACTTTCATTGCTTTACAAAGGGTATCATACTGTGCATCTTGTATGTATATTTGAGTATCACAGTGTGTAATAGGGATGGTGATTTTGCCCCGACCCGGTGGGGAACCCGGTTCACCCGACCCGAACGAGGATTTCCCGCTAAAACTGGTCCCGGGGACGGGTATCCCCGGTAGACTCAAACCGGGGACGGGGTCGGGGCACATCCTACTTTTTCCAATGACCATGACGACATATCATGACTTCAAAAAACGTATAAAATATCATAAATATCTCATCTCGTCACGTTACCGTCACATCAAAAGAATTCAAATCTTCGTGACATTAAACAATTAAATTACATCGTTAATCCGCATAATTTAAAATTGTCATAACAAAATATTAACTCGTAGCATTGTCTCGTACATGTCATGAAGGGTGGACCCACTCTATTGGATACAGTGGAACAGACCACCAGTTTTTACGTTGTTAGTGTAAAAACTTGTAGAGTAGTAAAAGGTGTTACTGTATTATTTGTTGGGTGCAACCATATATATTTTGAAACTACAATAATGACATAAAATTTTCTTGATAGAGTTGATTTGCATGGATTTTCTCCCACCTCAGGAGGGTCCGGATCCCATTTGTGCCATTTTTAGTTTTTAGCTTTTAATTTCAAATTTATTATGTTTCTGACAATTTTGCAATAAAAGACTCAAACACATGACCTCACATATGAAAAACAAAGAACTAACCAAATAATCAATGATGAGGTTGTGAAAATTTTCCATTACTTTTTTTTATATTCAAATGGTACCATCACTTGAAAAAATTTCTAGGTCTGGGGATCAACACACTTACCCGGTAAGAGCTTACCGATAAAATTTAACACTATAATTTACTTACCGGGTAAGATTTTAATCCACCAAAACGATATTGTATGCAACAATTTACCCGGTAAACGCTTACCATAGTAAAAGTCGTCGCCCTCACTTACTGGATAAGACTCTTGATACTTGTCTCGCACTTACAGAGTAAGATTCTTGGTCTATACCATATTCATCCGATAAGACAATGTGACTTGATGTTCACTTACCCGAGTAAGCATTTGATAAACGGCCCCTTATTGTTGTCTTAACTTTCATAATTAGGGACACAATTAGAGATGTCAAAATAACTTGAAACCAAATAACTGGTTCAGACCAAAACGGTTTCGATTAGCTTTTTACTATTTTAGTTAAACCGAAACATTATAAC